TGTATTTTCATATTTTCTCTATATTCACTGTGTTCTTCGTATTCTCATCCATGTTTTCTGTGTTCACTTCATGTTCAGCAAGTATTCGCAGCATGCTCAGTTCAAATTTTTTCACCTGTTTTTCTCTGTTTTCTACCATTTTCCCCGTATGTTCACTCTATGTATATATGTTCTCTGTACAACTTTTATACTCAATATTCATGTTCTCAAAGTTCTTAGCTTGTTCTTCACATGTCCAGTGTTCATTCTTTGTATTCCCTATGTTCCTTATCTTGTCTTCATATTCTCTATAAGTTCATATTCCCTGCATGTTCACTGTGTTCATCAACTTTTCTTACATGTTTTCTGTGTTCCCAGTATGTTCACTGTGTTCATTCCCTTACTTAGTCTCAATTTTTTATGTTCTTTGTTTCTTTAAACCAATTTGTTTCTTCCATTCACTAACTAGTTCTTTGTCAAATATTATCATCGGCAATACAGTTCCCTCAACAAATTTAATCACCTAGTTTTATTTGCAAAAAACTACGACAAAGTAATTCTCATAGTCAACTTAACATTTCTTACCAAACACAGTTCTTAAAGAAATCTACCCTTTATTCAGTACCAAATTTACCAAGACAAACTTTTCTTGTAACTTCTTAACTAAAAATTACTTGTCAATCAACAGAGAATAGTCAGGATTGATCTCGTTCAACACCGTTCTTAACTAAAAATAACCTTTCTCTTAGCTAAAAATTGTCAAAGGAAACTTTCCAACACTGTTCATAACTAGCTTTTTATCCATTGTCAATCAACTAATAAATATTCACTTTCATCATTTCTTAACTAAACTTATTCCATAGTCAACAGAAAATAACCGTGTTCATCATGTTTCATTGTCATTTCTTATCTGAAATATCATTTTTCTCAACTGAAATAGTCATGTGTAGCCTCTTTTCCAACACTGTTCTTAACTAAAGTAACCTTTCACTTCGCTAAAAAATAATCATGGAAACTTCTTTCTGCACTTTCTCATCAGTCATGATGTTTCGTCAAGTAAGAAAAAATAGCCAAAGATATCTATCATCGCCGTTCTTAACTGACATTTATACTTTGTGGAGCACTAAAATAGTCACTGTCATCATATTTTTTCATGTCTTTCCTCAACTAAATAGTCAAATGTAACTTTTCAACACTTTCGTAACTAAAATTATATGTCGCTAAGTAAGAAAAATAGTCAAATGTAACTTCTTTCAGCACTTTTGTAACTAACAGTATACTTCATGGAATAAGAAAAATACTCAAAGTCACTCTTCGAGACATCAAAGACACTCTTCGAGATATCAAAGACGCACTCAAAGACTCCAAAAATTTACTCGCATCCTCAAAGTTATTCTCAGAGTCATTAAAAAGTCAATCTCAGTCATCAAATGTTATTCTCTAAGTAAACTTTCGTTCATCAGAGAAACTTTCTAAGTCATCTTCGTTCATTAAAGTTATTCTCAGAGGCATCTAAAGTTATTATCTAAGACATAAAAGTTATTCTCAGAGCTATCAAAATTATTCTCGAAGTCATCAAAAAGGTATTTTCACGTACTCAAAAGTTAATCTCGGTCATCAAAGTTGTTCGGTAAGATATCTTCGAGACATCAAAATTACTCTTCAATACATCAAAGACACAATCGAAATACTTCTCATGTCCATAAAAGTTAATCTCAGAGCTATCAAAAGATATTCTCAGACATCTTCATCCATAAAAAGTTATTCTCAGAGACATCAAGGACACTCTTCGAGATATCAAAGACACAATCAAAATACTTCTCAAGTCCACAAAAGTTAATCTCACAGCTATCAAAAGTTGTTTTCAGACATCTTCATCCATAAAAAATTATTCTCAGAGACATCATAGTCATTCTCTAAGTCATCAAAGTCATTCTCAGAGTCAACAAAAAAGTTATTCTCAGTCATAAAAGGTAATTTCTAAGTCACTTTCCTTCATCAAAGTTATTCTCTAAGTCATAAAAGTTATTCCCAAAGACATTAAAAATTAATCTCGGTCATCAATAGTTAATCTCAGTCATCAAATGTTATTCTCTAAGTAACCTTTCGTTTATCAGAGAAGCTTTCTATGACATCTTCGTTCATCAAAGTTATTCTCTAAGACATCAAAAGTCATTCTCAAAGTCATCAAAGTTAATGTTAGAGTTGTCAAAGGTAATCTCTAACTCGCTTTCGTTCATCAATGTTATTTTCTAAGTCACCTTCGTTCATCAAAGAAACTCTCCTTCTTCCATCAAGTTATTCTTTAAGACATCAATGTTGTTCTCTAAGACATCAACTGTCATAAAAATTTCTCTCCAAACGTAACTAGTTCAGCTTTTCATATGAAACTTGCACTTCTGTTAAATATATTTTCTTAGACACTTTACCTTTTAAACTGTTCTCTGTACAACACTGCTTAAACCTACGTAACCTATCCTCTCCACCCAATGTTACTTAGTTAACATAACGTTCCTAAACCTAACCTAACTTTACTTATCCTAACCTAACATAACTTACCCTAACCTAACTTACCTATCCTAACTTTCCATACCTAACCTAAGTTAAACCTGCTTATCCTAACTTACCTAACCTAACTTACCTAACCTAACTTACTCAACCTAACCTAACTTAGCCTAAAATATCCTAACCTTACATAACTTAACCTAATTTACCTACGTAACCTATCCTCTCCACCCAATGTTACTTAGTTAACATAACGTTCCTAAACCTAACCTAACTTTACCTATCCTAACCTAACATAACTTACCCTAACCTAACTTACCTATCCTAACTTTCTATACCTAACCTATGTTAACTTACCTAAGTTAACCTGCTTAACCTAACTTACCTATCCAAACCTAACCTAACCTAACTTACCTTACCTAACTTATCTTACCTAACTTAACCTGCTTAACCTAACTTACCTAACCTAACTTACCTATCCTAACTTCCATAACCTATCCTAACTTAACTTGCATAACCTAACCTAGCCTAATTTACATAACCTATCTTACCCAACCTAACTTGCATAACCTAACCTAACCTAACTTATCCTAACCTAACTTATCCTAACCTAACTTACTTAACCTAACCTATCCTAACTTAACTAACCTAACATACCTTACCTTACCTAACCTAACTTAACCTAACCTAACCTAACTTATCCTAACCTAACTTACCTAACTTAACCTAACTTACCTATCCTAACTTCCATAACCTAACATAACCTATCCTAACTTAACTTGCATAACCTAACTTAACCTAACCTATCTTACCCAACCTAACTTGCTTAACCTAACCTTTACCTAACTTATCCTAACCTAACTTATCCTAACCTAACTTACCTGACCTAACTTACCTATCCTAAGTTAACTAACCTATCCTTACCTAACTTAACTTGCATAACCTAAATTACAGTAACCTAACTTAAAAGCCAGGGGCCCCAAGCCAATTCAAACAAGGAAGCGAGCACCATCTGTCAACACACGAGATGCGAAAGGAAAAAAGCGACACCGCATTCTTCAGAATCGGCGCAAACAGCTTCAACAGCACAGATGAAGCATGCACCGCCAAGATCAAGGCACCAGACCCAGGAACGGCCCCAAGCGCCTCCACAACCTCTTGAAGACAATATGAAGACTGCTCCAGAAGGGAAAAGAACCGCAACGCCGAAGCCAGCAGGCCACGAGCGCGCAAGTCCTCAGCTAAGAGTGTGGCCGGATGGGAGGGAACCTGCACCATGCCAACATCCCATTGAAGGGCATGGGCGACCCATTGAAGGGCAGGGGCGAACAAACACGCATTGAGGTGCATAAACTCGCCACCCAGGTACTCCTGGACCACCATCAGCGCCTCGTGCCACTCAAGCTTGTGGGTATGGCAGAAAGTATCACAAGTATCCAAAGACAACACAAGCAGTCCGCTAGCCAGGACGACTCCGGAACCTCCTAACGAACTCACTTAGGGAGATGAAGACCCAAACCTGAATGAAGTATTCATAATAGAGGGGTAATACGGGTCGTGCTGTAATAGTTCATCATGACAAGCTAGCACTGGCTGTATTAGTTCATCATGACAAGCTAGCACTGGCTGTATTAGTTCATCATGACAAGCTAGCACTGGCAGTATTAGTTCATCATGACAAGCTAGCACTGGCAGTATTAGTTCATCATGACAAGCTAGCACTGGCAGTATTAGTTCATCATGACAAGCTAGCACTGGCAGTATTAGTTCATCATGACAAGCTAGCACTGGCAGTATTAGTTCATCATGACAAGCTAGCACTGGCAGTATTAGTTCATCATGACAAGCTAGCACTGGCAGTATTAGTTCATCATGACAAGCTAGCACTGGCAGTATTAGTTCATCATGACAAGCTAGCACTGGCAGTATTAGTTCATCATGACAAGCTAGCACTGGCAGTATTAGTTCATCATGACAAGCTAGCACTGGTTGTATTAGTTCATCATGACAAGCTAGCACTGGCAGTATTAGTTCATCATGACAAGCTAGCACTGGCAGTATTAGTTCATCATGACAAGCTAGCACTGGTAGTATTAGTTCATCATGACAAGCTAGCACTGGCAGTATTAGTTCATCATGACAAGCTAGCACTGGTTGTATTAGTTCATCATGACAAGCTAGCACTGGCAGTATTAGTTCATCATGACAAGCTAGCACTGGCAGTATTAGTTCATCATGACAAGCTAGCACTGGCAGTATTAGTTCATCATGACAAGCTAGCACTGGCAGTATTAGTTCATCATGACAAGCTAGCACTGGCAGTATTAGTTCATCATGACAAGCTAGCACTGGTTGTATTAGTTCATTATGGCAAGCTAGCAATGACTGTATTTGCTCATCATGACAAACTAGCACTGGCTTTATTAGTTCATGACAATCTTGCATTGGCTGTACTAACTCATCATGCAAACTAGCAATGGTTCGGCTAGCTCATCAGTGAAGGGAAAAAATTCAAATGAAGACAAAATTTCTTTAATAAGTTATAAATCAGATTTAAAATGAATGAAGCCTTCGCAGATACAGTTTAATGCTGAAAAAATATGTTGGGTTCTGAGCTTAAGTAATAAAAATAAAAGTTCCCAAATATCTGTTGAACAATGTTGAAATATCAAAATCAGAATACAAATAAGATCATAGAGTCATTAGTATTGCTCCTAAGCCAAAATATTAATGCATAAATGTATGGAATAATGGAAAATAGAACACTGAGATTTATTTCGAGTAACGTTAGCAAAAATACAACAAATATTATTCTTCATCTTTATCTTACCATTGATAAGCCTCATTTAGATTATGCAGTTCAGTTTTAGTCTCTATACTATAAAATGGTAATAAATTTAATTAAATCTATAACGAAAAAGATGAAAAGATAATCCTAGGAATTAGAAACCTTTTATGAAGAGAAATGTAAAAACGTAATTCATATGTGTGAAAATTTGAAGAGTAAGGAGTGACATGATTGAAGTACAGTATATAAATACAGTACTTCAATCATGTCACTCCTTAGGTAAATAGGTAAAATAACATAAAAAAGGAGGATGAAAATAAGTTTTTTAAACATGAGCACAAAATAGAACCCAAAACAATGTACAGTATATAAATTGGATAAGTTTAAAATCAGAAAAGACCTGGAAAAATACTGGTTTAGAAACACTGTTGTTGATTTATAGAACAAGTTACCTGTCAACATAATAGATGTGTGATTGATAGATTGTTTCAAATGTAGGTTTGACATATATATGAATGAGTTTCAGTGGATATAAATAGGAGTGCATCATATAGGCCAATAGGCCTTCTGTAGTTGCCTTTATTCTTATGCTCATGACAAACTGGTACTGGTTTGGCCATCTCAGCATTAAGATGGCACTGGCATGTCTAGCTCATCATGACAAGATGACACTGGCTTGATAAGCTTATTATGACAAGATGGCACTGGCTTGGCAAGCTCATCACGGCATACTGGCATAGCTTGGTTAGCTCATCATAAACATGACACTGATTTGGCTAGCTCATTATGACAAAGATTGCATGACTTTGCTAGCTCCTCGTGACTAGCAGACTTGGCTTGGCTAGCTCATCATGACAAAGATTGCATGACTTTGCTAGCTCCTCGTGACTAGCGGACTTGGCTTGGCTATCTCATCATGACAAAGATGGCATGGCTTTCCTAGCGTGAAAGGACAACTCGGATGTTTACACTTCACGTTATGACTAATATGATGCTATAACATTAATTATCTTGCTCATATTAGTTTGCAATAATGATCTTATTGTCCATTTTTCCCCCTACATATGTGGGATTCACATGTTGATGAATGGAATGACAAAGTAATTAGGGACAATGAATTAAGATCAGTTAAACTCGAAGTCGTCATTGGCACACTCTGTCATGTTCATCATTGGAGTATGAGGCGTCACTACCATCTCCTCGGGACCATCTTCATTACCATCATCATCATCTGCATTTTCCTTTTGAGCCTGTGAAGAGGTTAGCAGCAGTTAGTGTACGTCTTTGAGGGGGTTAGCAGCAGTTAGTGTACGTCTGGGAGGGGGTTAGCAGCAGTTAGTGTACGTCTTTGAGGGGGTTAGCAGCAGTTAGTGTACGTCTGTGAGGGGGTTAGCAGCAGTTAATACAGTCTGTGAAAGAGTTAGCAGCAGTTAATACAAGTCTGTGAGAGAGTTAGCAGCAGTTAATACAAGTCTGTGAGAGAGTTAGCAGCAGTTAATGTACGTCTTTGAGGAGGTTAGCAGCAGTTAGTACAAGTCTGTGAGGGGGTTAGCAGCAGTTAATACAAGTCTGTGAGAGAGTTTGCAGCAGTTAATACAAGTCTGTGAGAGAGTTAGCAGCAGTTAATACAAGTCTGTGAGGAGGTTAGCAGCAGTTAGTGTACGTCTTTGAGGGGGTTAGCAGCAGTTAGTGTACGTCTGTGAGGGGGTTAGCAGCAGTTAATACAGTCTGTGAGAGTGTTAGCAGCAGTTAATACAAGTCTGTGAGAGGGTTAGCAGCAGTTAATACAAGACTGTGAGAGGGTTAGCAGCAGTTAATACAGTCTGTGAGAGTGTTAGCAGCCGTTAATACAAGTCTGTGCGAGGGTTAGCAGCAGTTAATACAAGTCTGTGAGAGTGTTAGCAGCAGTTAATACAAGTCTGTGAGAGGGTTAGCAGCAGTTAATACAAGTCTGTAAGAGTTAGCAGCAGTTAATACAAGTCTGTGAGAGTGTTAGCAGCAGTTAATACAAGTCTGTGAGAGTGTTAGCAGCAGTTAATACAAGTCTGTGAGAGTGTTAGCAGCAGTTAATACAAGTCTGTAAGAGTTAGCAGCAGTTAATACAAGTCTGTGAGAGGGTTAGCAGAATTTACACTGTCCATTATAAAAAGAATGAAATATGTATCTTACTTGAATAAAAATTGTTTGTGTCTCTGATCTGGCCTCCGAGTTGGCCGTCTGGTCAACCAAACTGTTGGACACTGCTGCATGCAGTTTGATATCGACACCACAACCTGGTTTATTAGGATGTCTTCATCCACACAACAGAACCTCAGTCACAATTTACCACACCACCAGGTCTCTCTCCTCACAATTTACCACACCACCAGGTCTCTCTCCTCACAACTTACCACACCACCAGGTCTCTCTCCTCACAACTTACCACACCACCAGGTCTCTCTCCTCACAACTTACCACACCACCAGGTCTCTCTCCTCACAACTTACCACACCACCAGGTCTCTCTCCTCACAACTTACCACACCACCAGGTCTCTCTCCTCACAACTTACCACACCACCAGGTCTCTCTCCTCTCAACACACCACTAGGTCTCTCCTCACAACTTATCACACCACCAGGTCTCTCTCCTCACAACTTACCACACCACCAGGTCTCTCATCAAAACTTACCACATTCTCAGGTCTTTCAACACGATTGCGCTTGAAGAACCCAAACTGAAAGAGAGAAACTTCTGTCAAAATAATCACATACATGGTAATATTCAAAACTGCTGAGAAGAGCTCCCAGTAGTGAAGAGCAGAAGGCTTGTCATATATTTGTTTACAACTTGACAACTTTTTGCATACAAGCTGACTATTATATGAAGACATTTCGTACACATTCACAGGAAATAGTGCATACATTTATTTTTACTTATTGATAAATAATGCTATAAAGAATTTAAAAAAAAAAACAGTGTTGAATGTAATTAAACACTATTTTCTGGTTGAGCCCCATATGCTCCCTGGAACTATTGGACTAATATGCGATACTATACATTAGTCTGGGGCATCAGTCAAAGGAGTTCATGCTATCAGGGCCCATGAGTCTGACCTCCTCAGAGAGGAAAAGGAGCAATGGCCTATGGAAAACCCACATGTGGTTGGGGCTTTCCTTGCCTGCCTTCGACCGGGGTTAGGCACCCAGAAAAGTAGGCATAACAAAACAAACCCCACTTGGAAAGAAAATTGTAACCGAAGACTGAACAGAGAGGAAGAACTCCCTCAACCTCCAAAGAAACAAGAAAACATCCTACACCGCCTCTGCGCCGCTTGTCCGCGCAGCCCTTTCCTCCCCATGAGGGGAAGGTGGAAGCCCAGTAAACCCCGCCCCCACTTTCACCGGCTACTCACACCTGCAGTTCGAAGGCTGAGCATCAAACGGAAAACGAAAACCGCCGACTGGAGGGAGGAAGGGTGCCAAAAAGATTCCAGGGCTCACCCAGAAAATGACAGTTACAATACAATCAACGCTAGTTTTCTGTGGGGAGCCCCGTCGGCTCCCTGGATGCATATTGCAACAGGGCTTATGCATAAGCCCTGTTGCTTATGCATAAGCATAAGCAACAGGGCTCCATTAAGGAACATATAATCTCTTCCCACAACCAAACCATCGCCAGAGAAATCCTAGTAAACAACACAGAAATCATCGATAGATACAGCGATAGCAGGCGGCTTGACGTTTGCGAGGCACTACACATCAAGAAGTCAACACCAGCAATCAACAGCCAATTAATGCACAACTATATTCTACCCACCTCAAGACTCCGCTCCAATATAGAAGCATCAAGACATATGGACCAATAGGCTTTCTACAAACACTTCTATTCAATACCCATTGTTTCGTGTTCTGTCTTGTGTTGATGAAATTAATACCCTATTAATGCCACCTCTTGTTCTGTCTTGTGTTGATGAAATTAATACCCTATTAATGCCACCTCACCCCATCCACCTCACTCAAATGTAGATATAAAATCGGAGATGCGTAAGTTCTATTCGCACTGGGCTCGAACAAAACAAATGAAGCCGGCATACACATTACACATCTACTGGACCAGCTTCCAGAAATACAAATCCTAAACAAGAATGAACCTACCCACATCCAAGGAGGCAGATTAGACCTAACCTTTGTTTCAGCTTCCCTAAGAGATGCAGCAACATGGTCAGTTGAGCCCACACTCACAAGCGACCACTATGGGGTCCAAATTGATCTTCAGTTAGACCTACCCACCCCACCTCCGCCTCCATCTGAAGCCTGGAACTTTGCTTTAGCAAACTGGGACCGATTTCAAAGCCTCATTTCAGAGTGGCAAAGAAACTATGATCTTCCCGAAGACATTAATCAGGCAGAACAAGAATTTGTCAAAGCGATTCAAAGTGTAGCCAACCACTCAATCCCACTGAAAAAAACAGTCCACCAGACACCATAAAGATCATTGGTACTATTGCGAGCGTGTCAAAGAACTCGACCATAGACTCAATAGAACAAGAAAGCTATACAAAAAGCAGCCAAGTGACCGCAACAGGATCTTACTTTGTGAGGTCAAGGAACATGTACATCGAGAGACCAGACAAATAAAAGAACAAAAGTGGCTGGAATGGTGTTCACACCTGAATGAACACACCTCTCTCGGAGAGATGTGGCAGCAAATTCACCGGGCCAAAGGGAATAAAACACCTAAAGCTCCACACCCCAAGGATCCTCAACAGGAAGCCGAAGTACTGGCAACCAGGTTTGCAGAGAGAGCAGCCAGCAATCAACTTCCACCAGATGTATTAGCAGTACAGACCGGACTAGAGGAAGAAAGGTGGCACAGAATCCTTACAGCATGTGAAGAAGTCTCTGACACTAATGCCCCCTTCAAACTGGATGAGCTCAATCGGGCTAAGAAAAACTCCAAGGATACATCCCCTGGAGCCGACAAAATAACCTATAAAATGATTAGAAACCTCGGCCCAGAGGGAGACGCTGCATACCTAAAGTTAATTAATTTAGCCTGGACTTCTCAAACTAGACCTTCTGCTTGGAATAGAGCAGACATAGTGCCGATCCCAAAACCCAAAGATCCAGCTAATCCCAGGCCCATCTCTCTCTAAAGCTGTGCAGCCAAGACGGCTGACAGAATGGCACTCAACAGACTGGAGTGGAAAATGCCTAAACTGCACCATGATATGTATGCCTATAGAAGAAGGGTTGGCACAGTGGAATGTATTACAACTCTGTTAGCCCACTTGAATGACAGACCAGGAATGCTGATATTCCTGGACCTCGAAAAAGCCTTTGAACTGGCTAGCGCCCCAGCTATTCTCTGCTGCCTCATTGACAAAGAGGTCAGAGGCAACCTGCTCTCCTGGACCAAAAACTGTCTCATAAACAGAGAAGCAAGAGTAAAACTTCATGGCACAGTCTCTGAGTACAAAAGACATGAAAATGGTACACTGCAAGGAGGTATTCTTAGCCCCCTTCTCTTCAACTGTTTAATGGAAAGAATAATGAGGTTGAAACTCCCACATCACTGCAGGCTGCTAAACTACGCGGACGACTTTGTCATCATCATAAAAGGAAGGGATGCGGCGCGCCTTGCACCCAAATGCTTAGACTGCATCAGTAAAGAGGCAAAACAGATTGGGATCAAACTCAACCCCTCAAAGTCAAAGGCCATGCCCATAAAAATAGCGAAGCCCAACATCCAACTCACTGTACAGGGTCAACCAATAGAATGGGTCGACACCTATCAGTATCTAGGAATCATCTTGGACACACACATGAATTTTAATGCTGAGGTCACGTACTTGAGAGAGCGAACTGCGGCCCGGACGGCAATCCTCAGGTCGCTAACCTCCCTTTCTGGAGGAGCCAATCTGCAAGTCCTTCGCACATACTATGTACAGGCAGTCAGATCAGTGATCGATTATGCCGCACCTGCACTCACAAATCTATCACACCAACAGTGGAAAAAGCTTGAAGTTGCCCAAAACAATGCTATGAGAGCTGCACTGGGAGCCCCCATGTGGACCAGGCTTGAAACTCTTAGACTGGAGACGGGTTTGCCCTCTCTACAAGAAAGAATATCACAAAGGACAGCTACAATTATCAGTAAGATAATTATTTCTTCTGATCCAATCCCAGTGCGGCAGGCTTTGGTGGTTGGACTAGGCCAAAACAATGGAAACTCTTGGGTTGCAAGAGCAGGAAAAGTCCTAAACAGACTACATTTAAAAAGCATGATTCTTGATAGAGAGGGTGATCATCCACACCCAAATTACACTCCTTCCGCGCCGTGGGAAGAGCCTACTTTCAAAATAGTAATAGAAAGTCTCCCAATGAAAAAGGCTGCCTATGATCCGACAATCCTAAGGCGTATAATAGAAGAGCAAATGTATAGCATAGCAGTAGCAGGAGCCACCCACATCTTCACAGACGGATCGGTGGACACAGAAAATGAGAGTGCTGGCGCTGCTCTTTGCACGACCAGCGTTCAGGCATATTGGAGACTGGGAGGACTAGTATCATCAACCCAAACTGAGTTGTTTGCCATACAACAGGCATTCGCATATGTGAACGCTCAAAACACTCAAAATGCAATCATACACACAGACTCAAAAGCTGCACTTCAAATACTAGGACAAAAACAGTGGAAAGATAATGTGGAAATAATTACCACCATTTTGTATCTTGGAGCAGTCGCTAAAGGCACAGGACTCAACATAACTTTAAACTGGATCCCATCCCATATTGGAATCCCATTAAATGAAAAAGCTGATGAAATTGCTAAATTGGCAACTCGTCATCCAGTGATACATAAAACAATTCAACCCAGCCTAGAGAACATAAAAAACATCATCACCAAAAAACTCTCACATCTCAACAAAGCACCAGAGAATAGCTGAAGGTTCGTCATCTGCAACATGGTATCTTCAGGCAACCAAATTAGAAAGGTTAAATATCCCAAAAGGAATCCACAGGCAAATAGCAGTTAGGCTATATAGATTACGTCTAGGTTACAGATGCAACTGGGAGATTGGTGAACCCCGACAGAGAGAGTGCATCTTCTGCCAAACTGTCACAGAAAAGCCATTACTTCACTATCTTCTGGAATGTGAAGCAACCAATGACCTTAGAAGAGCTTTAAGAGTTCCTGAATCATGCAGTGGCCACCCTGAAGCCATCAACACAGCCACCCTCCTGGTCAACAAAGGTGTCCAGCAGCTGGACACCCTCATAAAGACTGTGAAGCAGTATCCTCCCCCGCGATAACAGCTTGATGGTTAAATACAACCTCAGAATACTGAGAAAAAAAAATGTACCACTTACGGGCTATTCATGCCCGTGCCACCTCTTGGGTGGCTTAATCTTTATCAATCATCAATCAATCAGTTCTATTCAGTTGTGTATTTGTAAACTAAAAGTCTTTGAAAATGAAATAAGTTTTACGAAACGCGCTCGTGTCGCGTCAGACTAGAAATAAAAATGAATTTTGGAGAATTGATTTTTGATTTACCTCCAACAGTGAAAAGAAATGTACGAAAGATTGAGAAAATTCGTGTTAGAATTATTAATCTTACTTTTTCGGTCATATTTAATAATATATATATATATATATACTATATATATATATATATATATATATATATATATATATATATATATATATATATATATATATATATATATA